TTGGGCATATTGGAATATAATCCTAGATTATGTTCTAATCTTACGTGGTTTAAGCTGCTCATTCAAGATGGTAATCTCCAGCCATCTTGACTGTCGAGCATGGTATATTAAAGGAAATCAGTTATGTATTAAACAAAAACAATCGGCAGCCCATTCCCTCCTTACCATATCCATATTATATATCCTTGGTGAATGTCCCCGTCTTGGATGATGCAAACACCCCATTCCCCAATGGTGGTAAATAAGCAAAAACAACCTGGCAGATCCTGGAACATTTATTTGGACACAACATCCCACTGAAATATAAATTGGAGGCTGCTATATGATATTTTCCACTATTATGTGGAGGAACATATATTTTTGTTAAACATCCCACTAAAATAGTGGCAAATCACTGTTCTAATCTTTTCCCATGAAGGTTGCTAATTCGATTCGAGAATTTTTGCCCTGCAGCATCCTGGAAGAGATCCCCCAGACCTGCCAGGTGCCTACGGAGATGCCGACACCCAGCATGGAGGACCTCAAGGTCGCTGGGAGGGGTGAAATGGGTGGCAGCTATGGTTGGGACACATATTGAAACTCTACATAAATGATGTATGAGTTGTGGCTTAGTGGCAAAAAACTGCGGAAATACTAGCGTTTCGGCGTCCAAAAGTGGCCAAAACACCGCTATTTACAGTGTTTCGTTCCTTCCACGTTTTCTTGAAATTGGAAAACTGTGTAACTCCAGCATTTTTTCCAATCAACCCGCCAAACATGCTGTAATTTATAGTGTTTTTTTGCTTTGCTTTCAAAAACACTGGTATTTGCAGTGTTTTGTGCATCTCTGGTCTAAAAAGTATTGGTATTTACAGCATTTTGTTAATTTCGAAAAGCAACAAATCGTCCGACAAATGTGTCAAAACGGCACTTTTTTCCGATTTTAGGTACCCTCAAATGAGCGACCCAAATTCCGTCCAAAAAGCTCTCCCCCCAGAGTACATATTCCCATTCATGTTGAAATAGTTGTCTCCCATCTGGGCAGGGGGAACAAAAAAACGGGGTGCTCAAAAACAGACAGGTTACTGTATTGAAATGACCAAGCACTCGTGGGCCTCAATGTGTCCTGATTTTTTCGACCCACATACTGTCTGTATGTATCTGTTTCCCACTGTTGCTCGAATATATCAATATCTGGAACCTTTCCAAAAACTTGTTGTTGGTTAGTCTCCCCATTGTTGGTGATACAGCAATCCAATCTATTGGTTGCTTCTTCCAATTTTTTTTTGGCTTAAAGCCCTGTCTGATCAGAATTTCAATATACATGCAAAACACCTTGTTTATCTTTTCTTACGTCCAAAGATTAGTAGACTATAACATCAAATCATAGATGTCTGGTTGGTGGTTTGGAACATTATATATTTTTCCATTCAGTTGGGAACAATAATCCCATTTGACTTTCATATTTTTCAGAGGGGTAGGGCTCAACCACCAACCAGCATGTAAATCATCCTTAATCATCAATCATCATTAACATTATCATTTTTACCATGGATTAACCATGATTCACCAATATTATATCTGTATTATAGTTGAACCCATGGCATGGTTTTCACAAAGGTCATATCCCCCCCATGATCCCCAGCAGCAAGTCGTTTTGCAGGCGCCAGAGCCGCCTGAAGCGCCGGTGCCGGAGGCGGCCCAGGCTTCCTCGCAGCAGGTGGGGGTCCTGAAGTCCCGATTTTTTTCAGCGAAAATGATGGAAAAACCATGGAAAAACCATGGAAAAACCATGGAACAACCATGAAAATGATGGAAAAACCATGGAAAAACCATGAAAATGATGGAAAAACCATGGAAAAACCTCATAAATATGAAGGTTTCTAGCTGGGAAAATGTAAATTTGTTTCAGCTTTTTTTGAGAACATGGCGGATTGGTGATGGAAAGCTCACCCTATAAATGAAGGTTCTAATGGGTTATTTTCAAACCATGAATGATTAAATAGATCTATTTAAATAGGGGATATCTAAAGACTCCCCCAAATCAACTCAGACCCTGCCAAATAATGTTTACATAGACATGGACCCTGCCAAATAATTATTTGGGGGGGTTGGAAGATTAGTTTCCACTTTCCACTAAAAATTTGCTATTTTCAGGGTCTGTGTTGATTTCGAGGAGGGTAGGTTTTCACAACATTAGCCAATAGATATTCAAGCAATGCTTGGGTGATACGTAGGTTCAACCAACGAGAAATAGAGGATTTGCTAACAACAACAGTTGAAACTGGTGGATTAAGCACTAACAATTGGGACATTGGGTTTTACCCAATCAAGAGGAACCCAAAATCACCCAAAATAGGTCATTTCTAAAAGGCATTAAGGATGAATGGGGATTTACAGCCACCAAAAAAAAAAAAACGACACAGGGATTTTCAACCCCAAACCACAAAGTTGAAACCTGAAGAATTTACAGAACATTCTTACTGTCTTTGCAAACAAAAAGGCCATATTTCCAACAAAATCCCACTGGGCATGGCTCAATGACCCGCCCTCAGGAGGTCGACTCTTTGATGGCGATATTAAAATTGAATGGCAATATCATGTCCAGTGTTTCTATGTTTTTCTGGGATTCCAAGTGCCATGAAGACCATTGACTAATATTTTTCAGAGGGGTAGGTATACCACCAACCAGCTTATAATATATATATAGCCATAATCACCATAATCATTTAATTATAGTCATATAAACCTATAGTATCCTATAGTCATATCATAGTCATATCATATTAATGATGACATTGTTGTGATGACATTGTCATGACATGTGCAACCGAAAATCATGGAACCTGGCAGGTCAGCAGTGGACTCATGGATTCCGCGCCAGTGAGTTCTCCAACGGCCTGGGGAGGGTGGAGAAGCTGAAGAACATGACATAAAATCGTGGGATTTTCATGGATTTTAAGGGATTTTATTGAAGTTACCTGAATTTGAGTGGGATTTTCATGGATTTTAATGGATTTTATTGAAGTTACCTGGATTTGAGTGGGATTTTCATAGATTTTCATGGATTTTATTGAAGTTACCTGGATTTGAGTGGGATTTTCATGGATTTTATGGGATTTTATTGAAGTTACCTGGATTTGAGTGGGATTTTCATGGATTTTAAAGGATTTTATTGAAGTTACCTGGATTTGAGTGGGATTTTCATGGATTTTAAAGGATTTTATTGAAGTTACCTGGATTTGAGTGGGATTTTCATGGATTTTAAAGGATTTTATTGAAGTTACCTGGATTTGAGTGGATTTTATTGATTACCTGGATTTGAGTGGGATTTTCATGGATTTTAAAGGATTTTATTGAAGTTACCTGGATTTGAGTGGGATTTTCATGGATTTTAAAGGATTTTATTGAAGTTACCTGGATTTGAGTGGGATTTTCATGGATTTTAAAGGATTTTATTGAAGTTACCTGGATTTGAGTGGGATTTTCATGGATTTTATGGGATTTTATTGAAGTTACCTGGATTTGAGTGTGATTTTCATGGATTTTAAGGGATTTTATTGAAGTTACCTGGATTTGAGTGGGATTTTCATGGATTTTCTGGGATTTTATTGGATTTTCATGGATTTTCTGGGATTTTATTGAAGTTACCTGGATTTGAGTGGGATTTTCATGGATTTTCTGGGATTTTATTGAAGTTACCTGGATTTGAGTGGGATTTTCATGGATTTTAAAGGATTTTACGTGGATTTGAGTGGGATTTTCATGGATTTTAAAGAATTTTATTGAAGTTACCTGGATTTGAGTGGATTTTTAATGGATTTTGAAGGATTTTATTGAAGTTACCTGGATTTGAGTGGGAGATTTTTACTGGATTTTCAAGGATTTTATTGAAGTTATCTGGATTTGAGTGGATTTTTAATGGATTTTCAAGGATTTTATTGAAGTTACCTGGATTTGAGTGGGATTTTCATGGATTTTAAAGAATTTTATTGAAGTTACCTGGATTTGAGTGGATTTTTAATGGATTTTGAAGGATTTTATTGAAGTTACATGGATTTGAGTGGATTTTTAATGGATTTTCAAGGATTTTATTGAAGTTACCTGGATTTGAGTGGGATTTTCATGGATTTTAAAGAATTTTATTGAAGTTACCTGGATTTGAGTGGATTTTTAATGGATTTTGAAGGATTTTATTGAAGTTACCTGGATTTGAGTGGATTTTAATGGATTTTAATGGATTTTATTGAAGTTACCTGGATTTGAGTGGATTTTTAATGGATTTTCAAGGATTTTATTGAAGTTACCTGGATTTGAGTGGATTTTTAATGGATTTTAATGGATTTCAATCGATCCTGTGAAGGTGGACACAAGAGGAGGCCGATCAATATTGCTCACACTCCCATTCAGGTCCCCTTTGGATCCGTTTCTACTATGGGTGATTCACATCGTTCGCATGAATATCGTCCAAGTCATACATAGGATGCACCAAACTGACTGACTCAGTCCTGATGGCACTTCCAAGTACACTCCATCAGTAGAAACCATTGAAGTCCATTTTAAAATCCAGTCCAGTCCAATAGTAATGAGGTAAATCCAATCATCTACCATCCCCAGTTTGGGTTTAATTTTGGGATATACAACCAATTTTTTGGGATTATTTAAAAGGGACCCCAATAGACGCTTGCTGGGATGGTGAAAAATTGTTGAGTTTACCACATTAATCCACATTTTGGTTTGTGCTCGCAGCTTCCAGCTGGGAAGGTACTGGTTCTATTTTCAACATGGAACCCAAAAGTCGACATCTCCTAAAACTGGTTGGTGGTTTGGAACATTTTTTATCTTTCCATATATTGGGAATAATGATCCCAACTGACTAATATTTTTCAGAGGGATTGAAACCACCAACCAGAAAACCATCTAGAAGCATTCTTAAGAACATCCAGGAAGCCCTTGGAATAAGACTTGGGCATGGCATCATGGGTCACTTTGATCCACAGGAGCTGCCAGTGCCCACTGAGATGCCATCGCCCACTGAAGGTGGGGGTTTTAGGGATGCCATCATCTCCACTTTTTTGGGGGAAACTTTTGAAAATGGAGATGGGTCAAAAGTCAAAAGCTATTCTATCCCATTCTAACATATTTGGGAGGATTGATTAAACATCCATTTACCAGCTGTTTTGGGGTTCACCAAGGTACCAGGGTTTTAGCCCAGACCCAAATTATCATTGTAGGGGTGGATCTTAAAGCTCAGGAAGCTTTGTTGCCAGCAACGAATGAATAAGATGGGACTCCTGACTATTATGACTGTTGCAAGCATGTAGTCTTGATTTCAACGACTTGTGTTTGTTTCGTCTTCTTTGGGACATCCGGTCCGATCCGCAACTTTCACAAAATCCCAAGTCCTGCATCCAGGAATCGAAGGGACAGAGGAAGTAAGGACGCAAGATGCAACTGCGGCCTTCACGCAAGAGATGGAGGTGGAAACTCGAATCGCAACTGAAACGCGGGAGCGCCCTGGGGGAGTTGTGACCGGTGGGGCGGCTTTTTCCATGTTGGTTGTTAGATGCCAGTCAAGGATTTCAGGCAAGATGAGGTATCGAGTAGTATGTAAAGGCCTCTATGAAAACTTGCTTCACATGGTTCCTTTATAGTTGAAACGGCGCAGGACAACGCTACAGGCCACTCCATGCCCAAAAGGGTCAGTAAATCATGGTCGATATAGAACTCCCAATAAAGGTCTTGTTGACTTGAGGCGAAGGCCTTGGTCGGAATACGGGGATGAATTTGATACTAGGCAACAAGAGCCACTTCTGAGCCACTTTCTTCGATTGTCATCCCAGCAGCACGCTCTGGTGTTTTCTTTGGTCCGCAGGAGCCAACAGAAGTTGCCCCTCGGCGCAAAGAAACAAGTTTGTACGTTTCTGGTTCTGATTCAGCTGACTCACGGCTTTGGTGGTTGATCTGATTTGCAGTGAAGACAGGGGCACCATGTATCAAAGGTTTCGAGGTTTAGAGGTATCTCTTCCATTTGTGGAGAGGGCAACTCAACCTCCTCTACCAAAGTAATCTGGACGTCTCCGATGGATTCTGAAGGAAGGACAAGGGGTTCCTAGTGTTTGACCTATTCCGAATTGGCGGATGCGGCTTTGCCAGACGGTATGATTTTGGGGGATCTATCGAAACCTTGGGAAAAGAAGAGATGCAGCTTTCTCACGGGTTCATTGATCCACACCCAAAAGAAGAGGACTAATATCCCAAAGTTTCGACTTCTTTCACATGTTGTCAGAGTAGAACTAAGACTACGACTACGATATGAGGGGATGGACATTCTTTTGAGATCGCCTCCATGAAGGCAAAATTCACGGAGGCCTCCATTTGCTCATAATAGAAATCAGGCTTCCCTGTCAAAAATCCTTCAAACTGTATCTGCTAATCATCCCGAAGCAGATGGGATATGGATTTTGCAATCCTACTCCCGTTTTGGTGAGGATTTAGATAGACATTTCCATACTGGTATCTACTCCAGGATGACTATTTATATTATTTTATATTTATATTCCCATGAAATCGCATGAAATCCATAATCCACATTTCTTGATGTTCAAGAGCCGTTTTTCCCCCGAACATCCCCATCTTTTCCCCGGTGTTTTCCAGGTCATCTGACCATCGGATGCTGCCGATATGAGGTGAACACCAGCAGTGTGGAGAAGACCTTGTCGGCCCCCTCGCGCTTGACACGCTCCACGGAGCCTTCCACGCTGCCGTCGGGGCCGAAGATCGGGGCCGTCTGATTGTTAGCTATCTGACCATGAAAATTCAGAAAAAAACTGTGGAAAATGCCAAAGATATCTAAGGATGACTTTCCTGTTGATTTTCATTTTTCCTCTTTTTGGAAGATGATACCTTGGGCTATCCCTCCACCCCCTAGGGCTGAATGTTGCCGGTGGTAAGTGGAGGATAGCCCAAATGAATCCAAATGATACCTGTATGCTAGAGAGGACCCTTATATTTGAAAGTAGAACTCATGGTTCGATTTTCTCTTACCCATAAATCAACACAGATGTGGAAAACCCATGGGGTTTCCCCCGAGGATGTTACCATAAGAAGTAACCACATTCCCAGGATGTGATTACCAGGTTGATGTTTCCTCCACATCCAGGTGTCCGACTCGCCGGCATTTATTTTGGTTCAAAAAACAACTCCAGTACTTTAGCACAACCATGGAAACTGGCCTATAGATGGTTTTCCTATTCCCATAGCCATATATCTGGTTGGAACATTTTATATTTTCCCATATATTCGGAACAACAATCCCATTTGACCAATATTTTTCAGAGGGGTTGAAACCAGCAACCAGATATAATGATATGGTGATTTTCCATATCTACGTTAAATTACCGAAGGGTAAGCCAGCAACAACTGGGGAAACATGGTGATTATTCATGTTGACTTTCCAAGGATAGTCATTCAAAACACCAGAGGGTAAATCCACCAATTTTTGTAGGTTACCGATGAATGACCATAGAATCACCATTCACCCACAGGATGGTGCCCCCCAGTTATAAGTTGATTTATAAACCCTATTAACTATACTTAGTTAAACTAGTTATATCTACCATAAACATAGAATTCAGCCACAGCCATATCTCAACTGAACGCTATTTGAAGAGGGCACCATTCACCCACCGTTTTTTTATGTGAAAATGACCTGAGGTCCTCCTTCCTAGACGTTCCAGTGCCCACCGAAGTGGTGTCGCCCTTGCCGGTGCCGCAGTCGGCGTTGCCGGAAGAGGAAATGGTGCCGCGGCCGCGGGAAATAACGGTGGAAATTGAGGGGAACCTGGGTATAAAATGAGGGGCTAAATGGGGATCACTTACACATGGGATATCTTGATGTGTTTTTTCTATGATTTAATTTACATATTACAGGAAATTTTCTATCATAGATATCATTGATTGCGCATTTGTCACGCCAGCTCCTTTCCCACTTTCCCATTGGCAGATAGAGGGATAACCCGCATTGTTCACACCCAGTTGTGGAGGTTAATGCTGAACGGCCCCCCGTCTGTATTTTTTGCAAAAGGACGCGATTGGTGCCACGAAAAATCTCGACCTCGGTTGCTTAAACGGCTTAAACTATGCTGTGTGACGTTTAAACATGTTTAAACCCCGTCCTGTCAAATCAAGAAAATCAGCATCATTTTCCAGTTTTTTTTACTTTCAGAGTGGTTTCAAAGTTCTGGTTGCTTAAGTCGCTCCTCACATTCCTGTCCCGATTGATCCGTCTCTGGGAGGTGCTGCCGCGCAGCTCTGCAGGTGAGATCGAGGGTTTGTCAATGAGGTAGCCTCCATTTAGCAGTTCCAATGATTGGTGGTTCAAGCAATAGGATCCACCATCCCAAATTCACCATAAATAGGTGGTACAAACATGTATAAACCATCAACATATGGGTAGTTGATTATTCCTTTACTAACATTACGAATTCTCATCATCCGCAATAAACCAGGTAGTATAACCCCCCATAATGTCCCATCATGTATATAATGATCATCTATCACAATTTTGCCAGTTTAGCAAGTGGACCAGGGAGTTACCAAGCGGTGTCCACCGTGTCCGGCAAGGTGTCACCATTTGTCTCTTTGGAGTCTCTTTCCATCATTAAAAAATGGGATGATGATGATGATGATGATGATGATGGCTTTCCAGTTCCATCGTTAAAAGCTGGGATGATGAGAAGCACCAGTAAAGTTGCGCAGAACGTGGCTCCAGGCCTTTTGGAGTCGGCCCCTCCAGCTTCCCCTTCGATGCTACCGGTGGCATCGCTGAATGGGGGAGATGAACAGGGCATGGGTCAATTTTTTTGAGAGCCTAAGATCCAAAGATCAAATGCCATTGTTTAGCAGGTAAATCACCTTTGGATGATGTTGGAAATTATTGGTCCATCTCAATTTCAAATACGGAAAGCACATCCCTATTGTTAGCTTCAAACGTGCAGAAACGTCAGCCTTGAACATTACCCCAGTTCTTAGAGTGTGATTTATTTGCGTACATGTGCTTGTCTGAAAATGGAGTACCCCGAAGTTTTCCAAGGTCCAAAGTTACCCACAATTGTCTATATTATATATACATATATAGACATTGCCAAGTAGGTTTGTCTGAAACTAAGATACCCAACATGTGATGCTTAGTCATCACGTTGTTGGCCATATGTTATCATTTTCGGAGAGATCCATAAACCCAAAGACATTGTTGATACCCTATCAATCACATATCTATGCATGCATATATATATATATATATCTACATATATATATATATATATCTACACATACACACATATATATATATATAAATAAATATTTCTACATACATATATATATATACATATCTCCATATATATATATATATGTATATCATTATATATCATTATATATCATTATATATCATTATATATCATTATATATCATTATATATCATTATATATCATTATATATCATTATATATCATTATATAGCATTATATATCATTATATAGCATTATATCATTATATATCATTATATATCATTATATATCATTATATATCATTATATATCATTATATATCATTATATATCACTATATATCATTATATATCATTATATATCTTTATATATCTTTATATATCTTTATATATCATTGTATTTGGTTACCTATCATTATCTATCATTATCTATCATTAACTATCATTATCGATTACTATCCATAATTATCTATCATTATCTATCATTATTTATCATTATCTATCATTATCTGATCTTTATCTATCATTATCTATCATTATCTATCATTATCTATCTTTATCTATCATTATCTAACATTATCTATCATTATCTATCACTATCTATCTTTATCTATCTATGTTCTTTATCTATCTATGTTCTTTATCTTTATCTATCTTTATCTTTGTCTATCTTTATCTTTGTCTATCTTTATCTTTATCTATCTTTATCTTTATCTGTCTTGATCTACCTTTATATATCTTTATCTATCATTATCTATCTTTATCTGTCTTTATCTGTCTTTATCTATCTTTTTCTAGCTATAATCCATCTTTATCTATCTTTATCTATCTTTATCTATCTTTATCTATCTTTTATCTATCTTTATCTGTCTATCTTTATCTATCTATATTTATCTATCTATTTTTATCTATCTATCTTTATCTTTGTATCTTTACCTTTCTATCTTTACCTTTCTATCTATACCTTTTTATATGTATCTTTATCTATCTTTATCTATTTTTTATCTATCTTTTATCTATCTATATCTATCTATATCTATCTATATCTATCTATATCTATCTATATCTATCTATATCTATCTATATCTATCTGTATCTATCTATATCTATCTATATCTATCTATATCTATCTATATCTATCTATATCTATCTATATCTATCTATATCTATCTATATCCATCTATATCTATCTATATCTATCTATATCTATCTATATCTATCTATATCTATCTATATCTATCTATATCTATCTATATCTATCTATATCTATCTATGTCTATCTATGTGTATCTATCTATCTATCTATCTATCTATCCATCTATCTATCCATCTATCTATCCATCTATCTATCCATCTATCTATCCATCTATC